AGCTAAAATCAGCTGACGAGCCCAGGATCGCTTGCCCAGAGAATCACCGCGGAAGGATCGCTGGTTACGTTTTGTGGATGCTGACATCTTAGCTGTTCGGGGAGGGACACTACTCTCGTCGCACGCGACTCTCCGGAGCTGTCAAGTTAGTTGGAGGAAGCGACTGGCTGACTGCTCTGAAAGGTAACTGGTTGGACGACGGAGAAGAACGGTGTGTTCTCGTTGACAGGTTTGTTTAGAATGATTTCCTATGCTATGGATTTTCGTTTGTATAGAGGATGACATGAACATGCCATATATAGGAGTAAGAAACAGTTACGGAACAGGCAGGCAAAGTGCATGCAGTACGCGCCCTGTACTAGGCTGTAGGCCCTGTCAGCTGTCGCCCTCACTCAGCTCACGTTTACCTGAAGAAGCCACTTTGGGACGCGGTTCGTAGGAAGGCCTTGCAGCAACAGGAACTAGACATGCTTGTAACCACGGTAACGGAACGACAACCGTTACAAAATTTGTAACGGTTGTCGTTGCACAGGATATGTGGCTCTAGACAAGGAAGAATGGCGGATGCTTAAAGGGGAACTCCGGTCCAAAATCACCCCCATTTTTTATTGCGGAATCCATTAGAGTATGTCGTAAGTGGTAGAATGGCGAAAACCGGAAGCTTCTACGACAAGGATAACATACCTAAATTACCAATTGCAATTTTCCATATTTGGCACGAGGGGGCCCCCTCCCACCCTGTGACGTAAAACGTTCTCAGTGACCTCCACATTTTTTATTCAAATGCAGAAATTTTGAAAAAGGTATTCACTGTTTTTTCTTCAATCAATAACCCTTGTACTAGTATTCATTCGATCATCATGGAGGAAGAGGAGACCACGGGAGGTGTGGAGGTGGACGCCACTTCGGATTCAACAATACCGAGGCCTTTTAGGTTCGAGCCGAAGCGCGCATCAGCGTCTGCGAAACTGTCTACAAGTAATATTTCTGAGACTACAAAACAGATGAACGTGAAGAGAACGCTTTGGTTGCAAGTGCTCGCGTGAGGAGCACTGCTTATGCCGTTGCGGACAATGCAGCATGATGTGGAGCGAGGTCGAGTCGACTTGTTGCTGGGAGGTTCCTGCAGCTTTCAGTAAACGCGGCGAGCAGGAAGGGCTGCAGTGCGTCACGCAGCACTCAGAGTTTGCTGTTGTTTGCCTGCAAAAATCAGTGCTCGAGGTGGCATTGCTTTCCTTCGAAGAATTTCGGGCAAGGTGTGGACCGTGGTCAAACAGGTGAGGATTCACTGAATCGGTTTCATTATTTCCTTTCTTTCCATGTTTCATGTACCGGTACAAAGTAGATGGGAAGTGTTGTGCAATGATTTTGTGTACAGTATTCAAATTCACCAACTTCCATCACACAATCATGAAGTTCTATTGCACCCATGCCAATATAATTATACTGGTACAACGATGTCTTTCATTCATACTATTCCTAGCACTGTAAGTGTTTCAACTGTGTGTAAAAGTCATGTAAATTTGAAAAAAGGCCAAAGTGTCTTTAGTATAGTAGCCCATAGAAATATTAATTCGAATCCGAAACTATTTACACTGAAACTATTTTTTATTTTACTTTTACACAATCATGAAGACACTCGTGGTATGTGTATCTACATCTCTCCAACTGTTTTCTGCAGGATTTGGAGACATGTGGCGTATAGACAATACACATGGTTCACCCATGGATACTTTGGACGCAAGCAGCGGCATGTGATACCGTCTTGCGTGGTATCGAAGATAAAGCAGCTGTACCAGAAGCCAATGCAGATGCGCACTGGGGCTTTGAGGAAGCAGTTGGACATGATGATGATGATGATGATAATGCTTCTTGGCCTGGTTGACGTTCACATAATCATTGGTACATGTGCATGCAGAATGTAGAAAACAGTTGACAGACACGATTTATAACTATTCTCGACTCGGGCAATATTTGTGTTTTCGGGTGGGCGCATGCTTTGCACCAATGCAGTTGCATGAACAATCTGGTAAAGTTGACAGATACAATGGCACAAGACTGTACTGTGTTCGGGAGCATGGGGTTGTGCCGGTGCCGTGTGCCGTTGCGAATGCCGAGAATGGTTGTATGCACATCGTTCAACAGGTCCTTCAAGAAGCTGCAGGACATTGTCGTGCCGCTTCTTGGCCACTTTGTGCTCTTGGTGTATTCCAGCCTGTACCTGAGCACACCCTCCTTGGTTTTGGCGTGCGCTCTCCCTATATTGGCATTGTGGGACTGTACCCGTGCTCTCATGCCATTGTACGAAAAGTGGACACGTTTTGGTGCCCACTTCAGTATGACAGCATGGAAATTTTCCAGACTACAAATCATACTGTACCTTGTATTTGTGGCAGTGTAGCTGCAACCGGAAAGTAACGTAATGGAAACTTACAGATAAAGAGAACCGAAATAACACACATGATAACGTTCCATGTACATTACATCAATTCTCGACTTCACTGACTAGGATTATGAGTAGAGGACTTTGAGTAGGACTGTAGTCGTTTAGAGCTACGTTCTGGACGGCACAAAATCATGCCGTTCACTTACCTCATCGTGCTCACGTTCCTGGAAGTAAGTCGAAGATGGTCTGCTTTTGCTGGCAGCAGAGGTAGAGGAGCTACTAACTATAGGCCTTATGCACATTGTACAGATGCACGAAATCCCGTATAATCTTGTAGAATCCCGTAGACCCGGTTGGGTGTTGAATGTGCAGGACCCTATTGTGTTTACTGCTATTTCCACTATGAAATGGGCCATGAAGGCATTTCATACGAAATCTTTTTCCGGCAGAGATCTAGCTAGTCGTTAGTTCAATCCCAAAGTGAAGAAGGCTTGAAAAGTGATCGTTTGCCATGAATTGTGAGGCTAAATGGGTCAAACGCGCATGTATAGCACACAATGAACACCCAACCGGGTATGTACACACCTACGGCCATAGTACAGAACTTCGTACATCTGTACAATGTGCATAAGGACTATTAGTATGACATGCACCGCCAAGTTTCAGGATGGCAGAGACCCTGGCTCCAAGCGTCGCTGCTGCTTCTGCTTATAGCCACCAATGCTTTGTGCAAACTCTTGTTGGAAATCTCTTTCATAGCACATCTCAGTGAAATGCTCAGTGCAGACACGATTATTTTTCGTCGGAGAAAAATCCTTCCAACATACTCTCCATAGCCAAGCTGTCGTCAGGTTCGCGTCGGCCAGAGGAAAGCCATGCTACGACAGCCCGCAGGCGTCTCTTTCTTCGTGACATTGTTGCATCCAGAGACGCAGCAGCGAGTCGTGACAATAAATCGGGCATGGCACAGAACAACAAGCACTTCAACAATGGCCAAGGACTTTTCATTCTTGCTTCAATTATTTGAAAATTTCATCTGAGTGGACCGGGCTGAGAACGTTTTACGTCACAGGGTGGGAGGGGGCCCCCTCGTGCCAAATATGGAAAATTGCAATTGGTAATTTAGGTATGTTATCCTTGTCGTAGAAGCTTCCGGTTTTCGCCATTCTACCACTTACGACATACTCTAATGGATTCCGCAATAAAAAATGGGGGTGATTTTGGACCGGAGTTCCCCTTTAAGCGCTTGTGGAAAAATGTGCTGCGCTTGCGTACAATTCATAAAAAAAGTCCATTCATAAAAAGATGGGTCCTGGCTCTGGCGAGCTCCCGTATTTGGCGATTTTTCGTGATTTCATCGTACACAGTGCAGTGCTGCGAACTTTGAAATTTGAAAAAGGGTCCAAAAAGGGTGCCTGAACTGGGGTTCGAACCGCAGAATGCACTGTTACGGGAGGCATGGGGAAATCTGCCACCTCTCTGTACAAGAGGATAGCGTCCCTCATCGCCGACAAGACCGGAGAGGCCTACAGTGCCGTGATGGCTTCGATCCGGTGTCAAATCAGCTTTGCCTTGGTCCGATCCAGTGTGATGTGCCTGAGGGGTGCTAGGCGGCTCTATGCACCGGTCTTTGCCGCGGACTCAGCTGCTCTTGTTGTTGCCGAGGCGGCTATCCCCTGTTGAGGTTGATGGCCGTGCTCATTTATACCATGTTCTCATAATTTCTGCTTTTCGTGTCATTCTTGCTTCTTGTGTTTGTTTGTTCTCCTCTAGTTCTCTTATGTTCGCGGAGAAGGCGGAGAGCCGGAACACAGAACCTCTTATTTTTATTTTTTTTTAATTACTTACTTTTTTTACCAGGCGTGGGCCATCCCCTGATCATAGGTGCCAAACATTTTTAGTATAATTAAAAAAAAAAAAAAAGAATGCACTGTTGCAGGCGGGGTCAAACGGCCTGGATTTTGATGGTTTTTCCCAATTCAGTGCTTTTGGGGCAAAACCTGGCCGAAATCCTATTCTTGCTATGGCTTGCTTTTTGGACAAAAAAACTTCAGAAACATAATTGGAAGAGGATTCCATATGGGATTGCAGAAAAAAATTCTAAAAAAACTCAACGTTTGACCCATTTATGGCCAAAAGCTAGAAGTTCATTTTTTTCTGAATGGACTGTGTTTTTTTTTGTAGTTGTTCTTACTAATATACTGCGATACGCGTTCTATTATTAATGTTGGGTTAGCTTTTGGGCTAACCCTAGTTAGCGATAAGACCGATGCGCTGCTCTCTATCTCATGCTAGCTGCGACTGAGCTGGCTTTACACGTGCACTCAACTTCTGCGCATGCGCGCCCAAATCGCCTTGGGTAGCTCTTGCTGCGCTGACTTTGGCTTGCGCTTTCCTTTGCAGTGTCACTGAGCAGCAACCGGAATTTGTTTGCCACCCACCCTCCCATTCCCACATTATATAGGTGGGAACAGCTTCCTTCAACTGGTTGCTTTGCTGCTACTATCTCTGCCTAAAATTGCATACTATTGGTCGGCTGTTTGCGACGCCAATCAGTAGTCATTGCACCCGGTCGCGGGTACTATTGCCGCTCAAGCATGAGCGATTGCTTTGGCCATTTGCAACGCCAACTGCTTCACCCTGGTTGGCTGTTTGCAACATCGATGAGGGAACTTTGCACCCGGTCGCGGGTACTGCTGCAGCTCAGTCGTGAGCGATCACTTTGGCTGTTTGCAACGCCAATCCCTTCACCAGTTGATCGAAACCAGCACACTGGTGTACCCCAATCATCCTTGTGCGGTGTTGTGAGGATACGTGGGTATAGTAATATAATAATGCATGCAGTTTTGCTCTGTGACTGTGACTTTCCATTGCATGTAGTCACTTGGCTCTCCCATTCCCTGTACACTGCTCTGATGCATTCGGGTGCAAGCGCTAATTATTATGACTTGCATGTACGCGTTGGAGTCAACCATGCAAGCATGATCCACAACTTCGCTTATGCTGAACATGATAAACAGGACTATGACAGGGGAAAGAAATTGAGCTAGAACGATGATAATTATTATAATGATATAATTATCATATACAATGTAGCTCATGGGTATTGAAGATATGTCATTTATGAATATGTCTATATGTAATAGGTATGAAAAGTATGAATGCCGCAGACATCACCACGCAACATGACAATTTGTTCAAGGTTTGGTTTTGTGTGTTTCCAAAATCGATTTTCACCTTCCGATCATCAGTGGAAATACGGAACTAAAGAGATCAAGGGAAAAACAAAGGTTAAAAATCCAAAGAAGTGTGACACATGACGGGTAACTTGTGGTAAGTATTACAAAAAGTGAGAACTAAAATACAGAGTAAGTGTGACACCCGGGCATGAACAGTGCAGAAACAACTCATGAACACGGGGTGCAAACTCACGAAAATAACCTAAGTGCTAAAACATGTTCTTTTTGCTTACACAAATCGGGCTTATGCGTACGAATACAAACAGCTTCAAGGACCTTCAACTGCTGGACATAACGGGCACGACACAGTACAGAGAAGTGGGAATCATCATACACACTCAAACAATCGGGACGAGATAACAAATGCAAGTACACAGCTGACTTCTTACGAATTTCACCCTCATCAGCTCCATCACCTTCCCTGCCACCTGACTCCTCCTCGTCCGTTTTATCACCATCACCACCAGCCGTCTCATCGTCATCCGCCTCGTCTTCATCCGCCGCCTCGTCATCACCCGCTTCGTCGTCATCTGTATCCTCGCCGTCATCCGCCTCGTCGTCATCTGTATTCTCGTCATCCACCGCATCATCACCCAACTCATATTCACCACCAGCCAGTCGTCTGATACCATCCATGTTCTCCTTCCTACGTCTGTCCCGTGCCACTGTCCTTACCTCATCTACGTCCCGATACTGTGTTCCGTTTTGCCCCCGGCTTCCGGTCTCCTTCGATGCTCCGCGTGGGCCTTGGCCATTCCTAGCATATATTTCGGTTGAATAATTGGCGGTCGACCTCCGTGGTCTCTGGACACACGGATCAAGCGCTGGAGGGTGCTGCGGTGTCCGCACAGCCGGATACTGTGTCAAAGAAATGGGATCAATTTCTGTGATTGGCGGTACTGTCGTTGTTGCTGACTCCTCCCCAACCCCAGCCACCAACGGCACTGGTGGTGGCTCCGGTGGCGGCAAGGGCAACGGTGGAGAAGGCACATTCGGTTGGCTTAGTGATCCACCACTCTTCCTCTGCACCGTGTGTTCGACTTGCTCTGGTTGTGTCGGTGGTAGAGGGAGCGGGTTCTTGCGTGGTCTTCCCCGCTTCGGGCGCTTCGCTTTTGCTGCGTCCGGCAGCATGTGTCACACTTCTTTGGATTTTTAACCTTTGTTTTTCCCTTGATCTCTTTAGTTCCGTATTTCCACTGATGATTGGAAGGTGAAAATCGATTTTGGAAACACACAAAACCAAACCTTGAACAAATTGTCATGTTGCGTGGTGATGTCTGCGGCATTCATACTTTTCATAGCTATTATTAAACTTTTATCTCCACGTAGATT